AAAAAAAAGATTATATTTATTTATTTTTAGAAAGGGAAGGGAGGGAGAAAGAGAGAGAGAGAGAAACATCAATGTGCGGTTGCTAGGGGCTGTGGCCTGCAACCCAGGCATATGCCCTGACTGGGAATCGAATCTGGGACACTAGAACTGAAATACTCTTGCCTTGACCAGGCTGCAAAGCTTTCTGCCAACAGTGTGATGGCCTACTAGAACAAAGTCAACACCCTTTAAAGGGAGACCTTTCAAAGTCTCTACCATGCTTCAACCAGATGTGTCCAATATATAACAAAAAATTAGTTGGCACAGAAGTGGGAAAATGTAAACTATGATCAAGAGGAAATCATTAGTAGAAGCAAAAGCATGGGTGAGGCAGATGTGAGCAGAAATAGAATTAAAAGCATCTATTATAAATATGTCAAATAGTTTACAAGAAAAGATAAACAATTGGGGGACCTCAGCAGAGTAATAGAAAGTATAAAAAAGAATGAACCTCGAATTCTGTAAATGAAAAAATAACATTTGAAATGAAAACATTTGTTGAATGAGTTTAATAGCAGACTGGAAGAAGCAGAAGACAGAATCAAATCAATAGAAATCATCCAAACAGAAGCAGTGAGAGAAAAAGATCAAAATAAAGAGAGAACCTGGAGTCTGAGGCCCGTAGGATTATAGCAAGGAGGCTAACATGTATGTAATTGGAATCTCAGAAGGAAAGGAGAGACACGATGGGAACAAAAAGTGTTTGAGGGGATAATGATTAAAAAGTTTTCAATACGATGAAATACCTTCACCCACAGGTGAAGCAGCTCAGCAAACCCATGGGAGATAAACACGAAAAGGTCACATATAGGCCTATTATCAAGTTGCTAAAAACCAAGCTAAAGAGGAAAATATTTAAGGCAGACGGAGAAAAAAGACATATTTCTTTTAATGAGGCAATACTAAAAATGAAGGCTGTCTTTTAGACATATGAGCCGGAAGACAATAGAATGTCTTTAAATGCTGAAAGAAAAACGGTAAACCCAAGATTCTATGCATAGTGGCTACATCTTTTTAAAATGAAGGAGCCCCGGCTGGTGTGGCTCAGTGGGCTGAGCACTGGCCTGCGAACCGAAGGGTGGCCCGTTTGATTCCCAGTCAGGGCACATGCCTGGGTTGCTAGCTGGGTCCTCCCCCTGGGGGTGTGCGAGAGGCAACCATGTATCTCTCACACATCAATGTTTCTCTCCCTCTCCTTCTGCCTCCCCTCCTCTCTCTCTAAAATACAAATTAAAAATCTTTTTTTAGAAATTAACTATTTTCTTTTTTTTAAGATTTTATTTATTTATTTTTAGGGAGGGAAGGGAGAGAGAGAAACATCAATGTGCGGTTGCTGGGGGTTATGGCCTGCAACCCAGGTATGTGTCCTGACTGGGAATGAACCTGTGACACTTTGGTTCGCAGCCCGTGCTCAATCCACTAAGCTACGCCAGCCAGGGAAAAATCTTTTTTAAAAATTAAAAAAATGAAAGAGAAATGGAGATATTTTTAAACAAACAAAAGGCATGGTAGGTCATTGTCAGCAGACCTGCTGAAGAAATGCCAAAGGAAGCTCTTGAAACCAAAAGAAAATGATCCCATATAGAACCTGAAATCTGAAGGAAGGAGTAAAAAGCGTACACCAGAAATGGCAAGTATATGAGTAAATATAAAAGACTATTTTTTCTTAATGTCTTTAAAAGTCTACCAATTTATGAGGGCAAAAATAAGTTTTAAAAGTGTTGAGCCCCCGGCCAGCGTGACTCAGATGGTTGGAGTCTTGTCCCGTGGGCCAAAAAGTTGCTGGTTAGATTCCCGGTCAGGGCACACACCCAGGTTGTGAGTTCAATCTCCAGTTGGGACGCATACAAGAAGGCAACTCACTGATGTCTCTCTCTCTCCCTATCTCCCCCTTCCTCTCTCTCTAAAAACAAGGGAAAATAAATGTCCTCAGGTAAGGATAAAAAACTTTTTTGTATTGTATGATTTACATACTATATAGAAATAAATATACAACAATAAACACAATGGGAGGGGTAAATGAATTATATTGTAAGGTGTATACATTTTAAGGCATAATAATAATTTAAAGAAATTGTAATAAATTAAGGATGCTTACTGTAATCTCTAAAACAACATCTTAAAAATAATACAAAGGAATATAAATAAATCAATAAAATAATACTGAATACTAAAAATTACTTGATTATTCCAAATGAAAGGAGACAGGAGAAACAAAGGAAAACAAATAAGACAAATAGGAAACAATTTAACCCCGACATATCAATACTTGCATTAAGTATAAATAACTAAACAATCTAAATAAAAGGCAGAGATTTCCAGTCTGGATTTTTTTTTAAAAAAAGAATCAAACAATATCTTGTTTACAAGGAAGGCACTTTAAATATAATGACAAGGGTTGCATGAAAGTAAAATAAGGATGAAAGGTATGTCATGAAAATGCTGACTCCCAGAGAGCCGCTGTGGCCGTCGGGAAGTCAGAAAGAGCAGGCCTAAGACAGGCAGTTTTACTAGAGATACCTGGGGATATTTCACAGTGATAAAGGCTCACTCTTTCAAGAGGGCATCACAGTCCTAAATATGAATGCATTGAAAAACAGTTCCAAAAAATTGTAACACAAAACTGATAGAACCTAAAAGATATATAGACCATTCCACAAATAAATTTGTGGTTATAAAGGATGGATCCAGCAGAGAAAAATCAATACAGATACAGAAACACTGAACATTAATTAACATGACTTGCTGGACATTTATAGAACACTGAACTCAACAAATGCAGAATACATATTCTGTTCACAGGTATATGGGACATTCACCAACATAGAGTATATGCTGAGCTATGAAACAAAATCGATCAAGTCAAGACAATTGAAGTTATGCAATGAATGTTCTCAGACCACATTGAAATTAAATATACATAAATAACAAAAACATTAAAAATTCCTTATGGCAACATCCTTTTAAATAATCAATGGGTCTAATAATCACAAGAAAATTTAGAAAATATTAACCATTTGATAAATAAAACACAAAAAAAGCAACACTTAGAGGGCAATATATAGCATTACATGCCTTTATTGCAAAGAAAAATATATTTAAATCAATGAGGTAAGATACCAACTCAACAGGCTGGAAAAAGAAATAAAACCCAAAGGAAATAATAATAAAGAATTGAAATCAATGAAATGGGCAAAAAATAGAGAAAAGCAATAAAACCAAAAGTCAGTTCTTTTAAAATATCAATAAAATTTCTAAATCTCTAGCTACAATTATCAAGGCAAAAAGAGAACAAATATAAATTAACATAATCAGTAATTTAAAAAGTGAAACAGCTTCAATTCTATAGCTATTAAAAGGATAATAAAGCAATATTAATAACATCTTTATGCTAACAAATGTGATAAATGTTATAGACAAATTTCTTGAAAAATTCAAGTTTCTAAAACAGAAATTAACATAGAATATTTGAGTAGCTAAAGAACTTGGAATTGTAATAAATCTTTTTCACAAAGAAATTCCAGCCCTAAACACTTAAAGAAGAAGTAACATGAATCATATACAAACTCTTTCAGAGCATAACAAAGAGGCAACATTTTCTGACTGACTTCGGGAGGCCAGCATAACCAGACCTTTTGGAGGAAAAAAAAAACCAGGAGAAAATCTTTGTAAGTTTAAGGTGGTAGGCAAACATCTCTAAGAACACAGAAAGCACTAGCCATAAAAGATAAAATGAATAAATTGGACTTCCTCAAAATTATTTTGCTCTTCAGACAACACTACTAAGAAAATTAAAATGAAATGCTCAGAGTTGGAGAAAATATTCACAAACCACAATTACGTGAACTAAGGAATTGTAAATATTTTTAGATGTTGTGTGCATCTCCAATAGTTATTGTACTAAATCATGTTGAACTTAGCGGCGTGAAACAACACAAATGTGTTACTTCACAGTTCTGGAAGTCAGAAGGCTAGAACAAGATGTCAGCAAGTTTGCGTTCCTTCTGGAGTCTTACAGGGAGAACCAATATTTCTGTGTGTGTGTTTTTCAGCTTCTGGATATGGGTCGCGTTCCTTGGCTTGGGGCTCCAACCTCTTGTTTCCAATGTCATTATCTCCCACCACTGCCTTTGACCTTCTTACTTCTCTCTTATGAAAGTGCTTATGATTGCTTTGGGCACACCTGAAAATCTGGGATCATCTCCTCATCTGAGGTTAATCACTTTCTAAGGTTAATCACTCCTGTGATGTCTCCTTTTCCAGGGATTCAGATGTAAACACCTTCGGGGCCATTATTCAGATGTCATAATGGTATTGTGGTTAAGTAGGAAAACCATCATGAATTCTGAGAGATACATACTGAATTATTTAGGAGTGAAATGTTATGATGTTTGTAAATCACTTTTAAAATACTTTATCAAGAGAAAGGAGCAATTGTGACCAAATCTTACTAATTGTTAGTCTAGGTGGTGGGTATATGGGCATTCATTTTTTTAATACTGAAAATTTTCATAATAAAATTTTAAACTTAAGAAACAAAATATTTAAGTGCCTGTCTAGGGTTTAGAAAGGGTTAGCTCCCACACTGACCTGTAACTAAACAAGAGTGGAAATGAGATTAGTTAGTTCGTTAGCTAATTAGCTATTGCAATAGCTCTACTGCAAAAGAGTACAGCGGTTTGAACCAGGGTGATGGCAGTGGTGTGGGCAGAAGTGCATAGACGTGCAGTCTAATTCACAGGTCAAATCCATGTATGCTGAAGGCCTGTAGGAGGATGAGGGTAAAGTGGGCGTCGAGGAAAATAAAAATTGATTAAATACACTGTCTACTGTCCAGTCCTTGTTCATATTTAACCCTCACAACAACCTTAGAGGTGGGCACAATTCGCCCTCCCATCTTACGTGCAATCCACTTCTCCAACCCTGGAACTGGGGCAGAGGCGGTAGGTAGTCCTTGGGGCATGGCTTACATAAAACGGGAGCGGGCGCCTGGGGATGGGAACCTTAAACGGAAGGGGCTGGGTAGGCCTCTGCAGCAGCAGGGCCCGCCGGCGATTGGCGGAGCTGCCAAGAGATGGATGTGTAGATCTAACCCACAAGCGGGTGGAGAGCGTCAACCCTGCTTAGCCTCTCCGGCCGCGGTCTCCTCCATCCCTGAGACTTAGATGAGGAACGAGAGCGCGGAGCGCAGGAGGATGCGGCGCCCGCTGTGGCCTGGGAGCTCCGGGGAGCTCCGTCTGCTCCTCTGCTTCTTGCTGCTGAACAGCCTCCCAGGGGGCTGCAGAGACCTTACTGGCCACCGTCAGGAGGAAACGTGGCGGGGGGTGAAGGCAGGTCCCGAGAACGATCCTGAAAAAAGTGAGTCAGGGCTCCTCAAGGTTAGACACACAGGAGGAAAAGAAAGTGGGGGCGTGAAAAAAGATAAATGTAAAAAAAGGCGCAGGCCCGGGGTGGCGCTCCGCTTATGGGAACCAGACCTAAAAGAGGTGGACTCGGGAAAACTAGAGACTCTGGAGGAGGACGGGAAAATGGGCCAAGGGACCTATGCGACCACAGGAAAAGCAAGACGCGCCACACAGCCAGGGAAGAGGTGCTGGAACTGAGGGAAGGGGAGGGGACCAGGATCTCAGGGGACAGGAGCAGGAACCGCGGGTATGGGGCCCTGGCTCCGGAGAGAATCTGGGCCGAGAGGTCAGCCGGTGCTTCCTCACAAGCCCTCGGAGCCTGGCGTGTGCAACCCGGTGGCTGTAAAGAAGGGGGAGGGCTAGAGTAGAGTAAAGGCGGATGCAAGGGGAAAGGGATTTCCTTTTCCTCCCGCTCGGCTCCGCGCCAGCCTGTAGATCCGCGCAGACGCAGGTCTGAGCGGCCGGAGGCCAACTGCGCAGACTCGGGGGTTCCGCGCCGGGCGCGCGGGGAAGACCGCGCAAACTCCTGGTCTGACGCCAACTCTCCTTCCCGATTCTTGGGTTTAGAGGCCAAACCAGAGGACTCGGGAAGAGCTGTGAGAGGAGGCCTAGTGGCGGATGACAGGAGAGAACGAGCGCACGGGTGAGGGTGGAGGATGGTCAAGCCTCGTGGAAATACCTCGCGCTCTCAACCACCCAGAGCCCGTTCTATGCCAGGCTTCGGCCACAGCTCAGCACCACGGACAGCGCCTGACATCCTGTGGGTCTCTCCAGGGGTGTCCTACTCACCTCTTTTCCTACCAGTCTTGGGAGCAGTGTCTCAGAGAAGGATCCTCCCTTCCAGAAACGCTTTGCCTTCTCAGTAGGGTGCTGGAGTTTCTGCTCCTTTCTAAAGCCAGGAAATTGATATTAGGATCCATTTGGGAAGGGGAATTCCCTTTTCTTAAAGCCGGTCCCTAACGAGGCATTGGCAATGGCGCTATAGGGGGAAAAAAAAAAGGACTCTCCGCTAACCCTAACACATCTAACTGGAATAAGAAAAGTGTGTGTGTACAGCCCTGGGTGGTGTGGCTCAGTGGATTGAGCGTGGCCTGTGAACCGAACCAAAGGGTGGCTGGTTCGATTCCCAGTCAGGGCACTTGCCTGGGTTGTGGGCCAGGTCCCCAGTAGGGGGCGTGCTAGAGGCAACCACACATGGATGTTTCCCTCTCTCCCTCACTTTCCCTCTCTGTCTCTAAAAATAAATAAATGAAAAGAAAGATGGTGTGTATAGCATTAGGGACTGTCCTCTCCCATCCCCTGTCCTTTTCCTATGCACAGCCGGGCTAACTGGCTGTCAGGACAGGGATCCAGACACTCAAACCCTATGCATACTAATACTTCCTACTAACACTTCCTGCTGTAAGGATTTCAGGCCTCCTCTCTAATCCCCCTCAGGCCTCAAACCCTACCCCAAGATCAGTTCACCTGCTTCCCATGCCCCCCGCCCCATTCATCCGCTGATTATACATTCCATGTGCGTAGTTGTCTGAGTCTCCCCTTACCTCAACCTTCACAGGCTCCAGGCTATTCTTTGCCTGTAAACTTTGTTCTTACCTGGAAGTTGGTACCAAAAGGTGCAGGGGCTGAAGAACAAGGTAAGGGAAAATGAAAAGAAGCAACACTGGAAAGGAGGAAGGGATCTGGTCAGAGGAAGAGAGACCAGGGAACTCAGGGGTTGTGATGGGAGGAAGCTGCCTTTTTTTTTTTCAACTGGAACCTGGCAAGCTCCTAGCCAAGCTCCTTGCTGGTCAAGCTCCTAGCCAAGCTCCTTTTGCCTTTAGATGGTCAGGGCCAAGTGGAGTGGAGCAGCTCTGGCCCTTCCAAGGATTTCCCACCCCAGTCTCCTGGCACTTGTAAGTTGTACTCCAGCAGATTATGCTCCAAGGTGAGGAAGACCTGGAGAACAGAGGCTGGGGCATGGCCGGATATGAGGGCAGTGGGGATAGTGAGAGGCTGTTTGATCTGAGGGCAAACTTCCTTCTTCAGACATCTCTGCTTGAAGCTTTCCTGCCATGCTCGCCTCATGGAGAAGGTGGACAGCAGAGTGGGAGCGAAGTTGGATGGGCGGGCAGTTTGCCCTTGACACTCTTGGGAAGAGCCCAGCAGAGGGTTCTAGCAGAAGCCCCCAAAATAAGTCATCATCTAACAGTTATGTTGCCTTCAAAGGGCTGAATGTAACTTCAACTCCTTAACAGTCAAGGAGTAGTCATATTTATACAGCCCTAAAGTTATTTCAGCCCTTTGAAGGCAACCGCAAGGCTGATGTGGCCCCTGGTGAACATGAGTTTGACACCCCTGATCTAACGCCTTCACACTAGTCCCAACCCCTGATGCTGTCTTGGTTTTTCTAGAACCAGGAATCCTTGAGTTCTCAGCATGGAAAACACACGTCTCCCCCCACGTCTGAGTGGGAAGAAGAGCAAATTGTGTGACAAATAGAGGTGAGGAGTGAAAGGAAGTGGGGAGTCTCTTGGTGACAGATGGCTGACTATTCCTCAGAGCAGAGTTTCATGAATGGGGGAGGATCAGATAAGAAATGTGCCTCGAGGTCACGTCACTGCTACTACGAGTGTCTGATATGTGTGTAACGCCTTAGAGCAGTGGTTCTCAAAGTGCATCTGAGGACCAGCAGCATCAGCATCATCAAGGACCTTGTGAAAAATGCTAACTACTTTTTATTCTTTAATTTTTAAGAAGATTTTATTTTATTTATGTTTAGAGAGGGGAAAGGAGGAAGAGAGGGAGAGAAACATTGATGTGTGACAGAAACATCGATTGATTGGTTGCCTCTTGCGTGCCGCCAACTGGGGATCTGACTTGCAACCCAGCCATGTGCTCTGACCAGGATTAGAACCAGCAACCCCTTGGTCTGCAGGATGATGCCCAACCCACTAAGCCACATCAGTCAGGGCCAAAAAAAAAAAAAAAAAAGCTAATTCTGGAGCTTCATCCAGACCTACTGAATCAGAAACTCTCATAGGAGATTCCAATGCACACTAACATTTGGAAATCACTGCCTTAAGAGTTTTGTAAGCATTCTTTGCCTCACTAATCTCATTTAATCCACAGGATAGCATCAAAGGAATCAGCAAAGAGAATATAATCCTAATCCTAATGGAATATTATCACATGCCAGGCACTATGGTAAGCAATTGTTGCATGCTATCTCATTTAATTCTGTCCACAAATGGTGATCGTTCACCTACTTGAGGGAGAGGGGGAGTGTTGATCTCACCTGGTCCCTGGAGTGGGCTAGAGTGTCCCAAGTGTCAGGTCACTCCATCCTTTCACCCTGAAGGTTTGTTCTGGAAGGGTGACATCACCTAGGATGTGATGACCCAGAAGAAGGAATACATAACAAGCAGACTCCATCCCCAAGATTTCTGTCTGAGGGATGGGCAGGCATCCTTTCCCACCAAAACCACTGGGGTGAAGCCCACAGTCAGGCCATGCTGTCTGGCAGACAGAGTGTGCTGGGAGGGAAGTAGTATTAACACTACAGGTGAGAGCTGCCAGAAATTCAGGGAGAATGATTCAGAGGTCCTCTCTGGGATCTGCAAGGAACAACTCCATGAGCCATTAATGATACCTGCAAAGGGAGAGGAGGTGGATATTAGCAAGCCTAGGTTCCATTGGTCATTTCTTTCTCTTCCAGGGGCAAGCAAGAGGAAAAACTTCAACTCCTATTCCCCAAGGTGAGACTTATGTGTCTTCTTAAGAATTTTAAATTCCTGATTTTGGGTCCCTTCTCTGTTCCTCTGGGGCCCTGCCACCCTTTTCTGTCTCCTTCTTGACCCCCGGCTTCCCTCCTCACAGAGCCCAATGGTCCAGGTGAACAGGGATCAGTGCTTTACCTCCAAAATGGTTTCAAAGGCCCTGAAATAACAGGTGGCCAACCCTGTCAAGGTGAGATTGGAACCCCCAAGGGCCTTTTTAAATGAGGGAGGCAGGTATGAAGAAGGGAATGAGTATGGAGGCATGAATGGATAAGCCCAAGGAAAGATCTTTTCTTTCCCAGTTGAAGCGTACCCCTTTCCTTTTCTCCCCTACAGACCACCTGTGGGTATCTGTGTGGGAGTTTGGGAGGGCAGGTGCTGGGAACCTCCAAGAATGAGATGGTCTATAAGATCAAGTATAAGCATGGACCTGCAGAGTTTTCAAAATTAGGTAAAAAATTTTCCTTTTCTCCATGCACTCCCTGTTTATAGCAAGTGGTAGCAAAGCTCCTTTAGATAAATGGGAGAGGCAGCCCAGAGGCCTTCACATTCAGAACATGCACACACTCACACGCCCCATCTCCCTCTACTCTGTGACCTGGGCTAGTCGGCTGGTAAAGTTCAGGGTTATTTCCTTGAGATGCTCGAACTCTTCAAAATCTAGATTGGAAACACCCATCCAGTACTCCCATCTATCTTTTAGGTGAGACATTGGGGTGCAGGCTGGTCAAGGGACTTGCTCAAAGCTGCACAGCAGGCTCTGGGCAGAGCCAGCACTGGATCCAGCCCTTTCCCCTGTGGCTCCTGTGGCCCCTGTGGCTCCTGCGGCTTCTGCCTTTCCTTTCTGGGACCACAGTAGGGGTTGGGCTGTTCCAAACATCAGGCTCCTCCGTGTTGACCAAAGTCTGGTGGGGGGAGGGGGACTAAAACCTCAATTATAAGAAGGTGGCAGCTGGAGGAAGATATGAAGGAAGGACTTCTCAGACAGAGAGCACTGCAATGACAAGTGTTCTGTGACAAGGACACCATGGCCAGTTCAAGGAGCAGATGGAGAAGCCAGGGGTAGGAGATTAGGTTAGAGAAGCAGGCCCCCAAGACTGACCATATAGGGCCTCATAGATCCTGGTGAAAAACTTAGATTTTATTCCAAGTGGCAAGTTAACTGGGAAATTTTAAGGAAGGGGGTTTCCTAATGTGACATATGAGTTTATCCAAAGGCCACTCTAGTGGTGTTAAGGAATGGATTGTGAAGAGCAAGACTAAAAACTAAGGAGCCTGGAAGGAACCACAATCCTGATGGGGAGGGGGGTTACTTGAGTTGGCCTGGACTGGGGCAGTGGCAGTGGAACTAGCGCCCCCAGCTGGCCATGCACTCCACCCAGAGGCCGCCTGCACCGCAGGGGGCTTCCAGGCTCTCCTAGGAAACTGGTTCCCTTGGTTCCCGTTCCTGTAAGGTGGCACCTGGGCTCTCTAAGCCTGGATTGGTTGCTGGGTCAACACACTCAGAGCTAAGTGACAGACCTACCAGTGAGGGACCGGTTACTATGGTGCTTCTGCGAATGCAAACAAGATGCTGTCATTCTTTCCAACCCTGAGCCCAAGGGGAAAATCACAGGAGGGAGGGTGAACTATATGTGGAAGCCAAGGGGACAGGTAATTGGTGGGCTGAGTCACTATGGGCTTACTCCATCAGGCTGTTATGGAAGCATCTGGGGAAGAAGAGTAGAAGAGGAAGGGGCCACCTGGCCACCTACTGATCCCAATCCTTTGTTTCTTCTTGTTTTAGGGCTTCTTTGAGCCACCCTCCACTGTGGAACGCAATCTCGCCGCTGATTGAGACCTGGTGTGAAAGTTCTCTGCCCCAATGCGCTCCCCATTGTCCTCTAGGGGGGCAGTTCTAGGATGATCCAAATCTGGGTCATTAAAGTGGACTCTCATGCCAGCTCTTCCTGTGACTTGTCTTGAGGCAGGATGGGTGGGGTTTGGACCTGGCCAGAGCCTCCAAAGTGAGAGAAAGGGGACCAGGAAAGGGAGTGGAGGTGAGGAGAGCAGAGTCCCTTGGTGCAGATGGAGGCTGGTCTCTGTCTTGTTTTCCTCCCCGTGTCCAGTCCTGAAGTCGGGGAAGTGAGGGTGGGGCTACAGCTGGAAGGTCAGCCTTCCCACCGGCACCCAGCTACATTGTATGGCTTAGTTGCCCATGTCACATGGGCCTGCACCCTGTTGTTTTATGAGTCTTCACCTTTGGCATTACACCTCTTGCCAGGGCTCTCCCACTCATCCTGCTCCCAATAATCAACAGGGAAGTGCTACAAAGTGTGCACGCATTAACTGTTCTAATGGCTCTTGCCAGTTTGTTCCTAGTAGCTTAAATTTTTAAAAGGGAACAGGGCCCTGGCCCATGTGGTTCAGTTGGTTGGGTGTCATCCCATAGAACAGGAGGTCTCAGGTTAGAGTCCCGGTCAGGACACATGTCCCGGGTGAGGGTTTGGTCCCTGGTCAGTGTGCCTGCAGGAGGCAACTGATCGATGTTTCTATCTTACACTGATATTTCTCTCCCTCCCTCCCTTTCCCTCTATCTCTAATAAATAAAAGAAAAAAATCTTAAAGGGAGTGGGTAATCCTACCCCATGATCAACCCAACCAAACACTGGAATATGCTATTTGCAGAGCTTTCTACTCCTTGAAGTGCGCTCACTGATTGGATATTTGCAGGTGTAAGCAAACAGGCAGGTATTCGGATTTAGTGTCTCCAAGAGGTAGCGGAGTTGTAAACATATACTTATAATCACTCTATAGCTATAAACAAGTTTTTAAACTTCACCAGATATGTCATAATTTAATAAATAACTATGAACCCCTCAACAATGTGGGGAGTGAATAAAAGAAAAATTACTTTTGGAAAGAAGTTGGTATCGTTGGCTCTACCTGATACGAAGACTTAGTCTAAAACTAGCCATTTACAGAGTGTGGCATTGACGAAAGGGCAGATGGGAAGCTCCATGAAGCGAAGGTCCCAGAGTCAGACACGTGGTGTGGATGCTTCACGGCAAAGGTGGCAGAGAAGAGGGCCATCTTTCCAACAAACAGTTCGGGAACCATTTGGTGCCCTTGTAGATAAAAAAGTCGCTTATGTCCATGACTTAAGATATACACACAAGCAGGATCCAAGGGGATTATAGGTCAATGTGAAGAATTAAACAGCGACGCTTATTCCATAACTGTAGGCCATTTGATGGTTGTGTTTCATTTCCCCGAACTCCTACCCTGCAAAACCGTGTGGATGAAGCGTTTAAAGGAGAGTACAAGACAATAACTTCCTATCCTGATGGCTGTAAAAGGTTTCTTAAAGAGGAAACAAAGGTGCTGAAAATAAAGTGAAATATGGTACATTTGATACGTTAAATTGAGAAAATCTATAAGCTCTTCCTTAGAGCTAAAGTAAGACAGTTTTAGGGTATACCATTTTTTTTCTGCCACCACATGACTACAAACATCTTCCACTGTCTCTCCTGAGAAGAATAGAAAAGAGAATTTTCTGAGCCAGTGCTTGTCCCACAGAAATATAATATATATTTATATATGTAATTTTAAAATTTCTAGTAGTCACATTTTTAAAAGAGTGAAAAGGAAATAAGGCTATATCAACTCTATTCTCTGTAAATGATTCAATTAGAAGCATACAGCATCACCTATAGAGCATTTTGCTTAAACATTTTTTAAGCTTGATCCAATCAGAACTTTAGAGGTAACTTCCAGTTTACAGGAAATAAGGGGGAAATACAGGTTATACACAGGGGAAATATATCATGAGTAAATAATCGGACAACAGCAGAAGAAAAACTGACCTCATCTCTTCAACCAGAAAATATCAAAAATTGGGGGTGGGATAGGAAGGGTTGGAACCCTAAATATGCTAATTTAAACAGAATTAAGAAACACAACTAAATGAAATGATGGTCTATGACTCCTATTTTGAACAAATCAACCAGAAAATGCATTTTAAAAAATAATTTGAAGCCCTGGCTGGCATAGCTCAGTGGATTGAGCACAGGCTGCAAACCAAAGTGTCGCAGGTTCGATTCCCAGTCAGGGCACATGCCTGGGTTGCAGGCCATGGCCCCCAGCAACTACACATTGATATTTCTCTCTCTCTCTCTTCCTTCCCTCTCTAAAAATAAATAAATAAAATCTTTAAAAAACAATTTGAGAAATTTGAATATGAACTGAGCATCAAATAATATTTGGTCATATTAAGTTTATTGGATGCCATATAGCATTTTGATAATGTGAGAAAGCATCTTTATATCTTGGAGATGTATACTGAAATATTTATAGGGAAATATGTCTATTATTTACTTTTAAGTACTAAAAGGAAGCAAGTATGGCAAAATATGAATAACTTAAGTCTAGATGATGCGTGCATGAGTATTTACTGTGCACTACTCTCATTTTTTTGTATTTTGGAAAACTTCTACTGAAAAGAGAGAGTAACGTGATGAAACGTGAAGTTTAGAAAGCTCACTCCCCGGCTCGACGGGTGACGAAAGTGGAAGCCAAACACTAGCTGGTTTATGGTACTAAACCACGACAGTAGTCATGTGGAAAGAGCACAGCGGTTTAGATAGGATGATGAGTGTGAAGAGACGTGGACCCAGGGGAGGGACAGCATTTTGCAGGTAGGTCACAAGATTTTTTGATAGACTCGAGGTGAAAGCGGGCAAAAGAAGGAGAGGCGAGGCTAACAGCAAAATCAAGTATTCATCGATTGTCTCGTAAACGACAGTGCAATCACTGCTCTAAGAGGCCCCCCTGTGTTGAATTCCTGTAATCCTCACCACCGCCTTGTGGTTTAGGTGCTGTTGTCCCCTCCACTTTGCACATCAGGAAATGTGGGCGCAGGGAGGGTAAGCAACCTTCCCCAAGTCGTATCCTCAGTAGTGGGCGCTGCTAGAACTGGAACCAGGCAACACGCACAACCATTCCTGCTCGTAGTGGAGATGCATGAGTAACCTGTTCTGTTCACTTTTCTGCTTCTCATCAGGGTTTTTACTACTCTACTCACGTATCTCTCCTGGTCCCCACCCAACTATAACCTTTTCATCAACCCTGTCACTGGGTAATAGAGGTGGTGGCCCTCGGGGAAAAGCGTCTGTCAAAATGGGTAGGGCCCAGTGGGAATTCTAGGGAGGAACACACACTAGGTGGTGCAGGAGGGCTAGGGGGCGGTAGCTCCCACGCTATGACAGTGCTCTGACGCCACGTATGACGCAAATAAGCGTAAGAGCCGAAGGTGGAGATGTCGTCACCACCCGCTCGGGGTTGGCCCATTAGCCGCGAGAGGGGCGCGTAGACCCCGCCTCTCGGGTGGGTGGGGAGTGGCAGGCCCCGCCTTGGACCCTCGGGTAGGCTCCTGCCAGCGTCTCTGCGGCGCCGGCTGGGGAGCGAGCGCGCGGACCCCGGAAGGATGCGGCGCCCGCGGCGGCCTGGGGGTGCCCGGGGCTCCGGGGGTCTCCGGGTGCTCCTCTGCCTCCTGCTGCTGAGCTGCCGCCCGGGAGGCTGCAGCGCCATTAGTGCCCACGGTCAGGAGGAGAGGGGCAGCTGGGGTGGAGGCGGATGGTGTCGGGAGCAAAACTCCGCGGGGGGCGGGGGCAGGGAAGTGGCTGAAGGCGGGACGCTCGGGCGGAAGGTGTGGAGTGGGGTCGGGGCAGGCACGGCGAGATGGGAAGGTGAGAGGGCTTCTTTGAGGAAAGGGGCGTAGGCCTGGAGGTGGGGCAGGGAATGCGGGGGCGGGACCTCGGAGAAGTGGGCCCGGGAAGATCGCGGGGTTGGGAGGAGGAATGGGGGTGCGTATGGACAGAGGGACGTAGAGAGAGGCTCCAAGTCCCCGGGAGAAGCAAGTCCTGCCGAGGCGCCAAAGAAGTGACCACCGGTGCTGAAGGCGGGGAGAGGGGGATAGGAGGAGGGCGGGGGACCCTGAGCTCGGGCGGTAGGAGTCCATCGGAGTCCCAGCTCCCGGTAGAAAATCAGGCGGAGAGAAGAGTCAGGGTTTCCCTTTACCCTTAGAGGGGCCGTTGCTGTGATCTGATCTCCAGCAAGAGGGGGAGAGTTGGGGTAGGGGACGAAGGAGGGTGAAGAGGGCAGGGTCCTCTCCCGCCCCCCCCCCCACTGCCAGGTCGGGTGCTGACTCACATCTTGGCGGACAGAGACAGTCAGCGCTGACTCATGGGCTGGGGGAGGGTGGGGGTGGGGGGCGCGCGGGGGGTGGGGTGGGGGGAAGGGGCGCAGCCTAGCCGCCTGGCGCCCTCCTGCACCACGGGCTTGGAGGCTAATGAAGGGTACTTCCTGTGGCGCTGTGCTAATAGGACGGTAGGTGAAGGCTGGAGCGGTGGAGCGCTCACGTCCCGTGGAGACTCTCCTCGCCCTGTCACCCCTCCTTCCTCCGTAACTGCTTCCAGGCAAGCCCTGGGCAGCGCCGGCTCAGGGCTTCAGCACCGCGGACAGCGCCAGCGGCCCGGCCACGCACAGGAGGGACGGTGTGGGGAGCCTTAGAGTCACCCCACCCTTTTCCCTTTCCCACGCAGAGAGGAGATGTGCTAGGGTTTTTGCCTCTTCTGAGTCCCAGGCCACCATAGTTAGGATGCTCTTGGAGATTCGGGAAGGAAAGTCCCCTTTTCCTCAGAATGTGGTCACAGGCTCCCCCATAGTAATTCTATGAGAATAGAAGAGTATGATCCCTCCCCGATGTGTCTGGAAAGGTCCTTTTCCCCATCACTTAGTTGGTCAAGCTGAACCTTTTAGAAGAAGAATCCAAGACTCACAGATCCTCAAAATCCAAAG